TATTAATGTGGCTCACAGTTTGCAGAGGTTTCAGTTGATAGTTGGCTTGCTCCAAGGCAGGGTGTCGTGGCAGAGGAGCATAACAGAGGAGAAAAAGTTCATGGGAAGCAGGAGGCAGCAAAACAGCAGCAGCAGCAGCAGGAGGAGCAGCAAGCCCCTGCAGTAGCCCTCTTCCTGTCTGGCATACTCTATCTAGGCTACCCACCTTAAGTCAGGAAGCACTCACACCCAGGGTGGGCCTTCCCATTACTCACATCCAGAATTATGCCAAACCAATCAGTAGATTAATTTAGTCATTGCGCACCCTTAATTCCAGAATCACACACTCTAGATCCAGCCATCTGTGAAAAGCCTCATCTATGATTGCTTTAAAATTTTAGGGAGAAGGCATTTTTAAATGAATGTTTAACATTTTATACTGTCCCCTGTATTGTCTGCCATCTCTACTAAGCTCAAAGCAATTTGTTCTTCGGGGGGTTGGGTTTATTCTTTACACTCTAAGGAAGAAAACCTGAAAAATTAAGAGGAAAATGATCTGCGTGTGATTTTGCCTGTTTTTTTGTTTTTGGGTTTTTTTTTTTTTTTTGCAGAAGCAGGGATTGAACTCAGGCCCTTGCGCTTGCCAGGCAAACACTTACTCTACTGAGCTATCTCCCTGGCTTTTTTTTTTTTTTTTTAAATCAGGGATCGAACTCAGGATCTCACACTTGCTAGGCAGGCACTTATGCCACTGAGCCATCTCCCCGGCCCTATGATCTGTGTATGGGATGTGGTGTCTAAGGGCTGAAAAGGAGAAAAAAGAAAGCAATGTGTCATTGTGTGGGTGAGAAAATTGCCAAGTAGAAGCTGTGGGCTTATGCTGAATAATCAAAACTATAAAACCTAAAGAAGAAAGTATCATACTAGTTCGAAAGTTAACTCTGTTTTGTCCATGCAATGAACAAAGCTTGTTTTGAAAAGTTCAGGATCAGGAGCAAAGAGAACCCAGCAAAACCGGAAACAAGGTAGCATACTAACATACAGCTTTCAACGGTTTCTCACTTGCTAGGACTTGTGTTTGTCACACTGCAGGTCCCAATCATTTAGCTCCTCATGAAATCAATTTAGGGACCCACTAAGAGTATTTTTAAAAATTATATATAAAGAGCAAGGGAGATAGCTTAGTGGTCTAAGCACCTGCCTAGCAAGCTCGAGGATCTAGGTTCGATCCCCTGCACCATGCGCTGTGCTGGTCCCAAAATCCTGGGCACCCTGTTCTGGCCCCTGAAACAGAGCATGGTGGCGCACACCTGTAATTTCAGAGCAGGGGAGGCTGAGACAGGGGGATCACTATGAGTCCAAGCTACGTAGTGAGATCCTGTACCTAATAAATAAAAA